GAATAACTAGTTGTTTTTAAATAATATATAGGTAATGCACTTAATGGTAGCTTGTCATTATTTACAATTATAGTTTATTGGTAAAATGTATAATCCATAATAATTATGAATTGAATTAATCAAATTTATAAAAAAATAAATATTAATAGATTATATAAGAAATTTAAGCTTAAATAGTATTTAGTTTATTGGAATGTATTAATAAATTATTTTTATCTATACAAATTTGTATTACCTTAATGATTTTTAATATTTCATGAATTTCGTTAAAATATAATATTATACAACTTCTAAACTTGAACTCACACACCAAACATATTATAAAGCGTATAAAGTATCTTGTTATTTGTACATAATCTTATTGTGAAATGCTATAAACAGTATTATTACTAAAACTAAATTCGTTTCAATRCAATATAAGTAGTTTAAATGTTATAATTTATTTCAAAATTGATTTTAAGTACTCAAATCGATGCCCACTTGATTATCAAAATACAAACATTTATACAAACAAAGTATTTTAATATTTTTGGGTTGTAAAATATTTATAGAACAAATATTTTCTATTTGTTAATACCTAAAATTWMTGATTTCTGATTATAAGTTATAATAACTGCTTCCTTTTCGGATAATTTCAAACTAGGAATATTTGATTAAGTTGTTAAACTTCTTAATCGGCTTACAGCAAATGCTACGGATTATACCAATTTTCAGCTGTGTATAATATAACACACTTATCCGTTATCATTTAGACCAGGTTATYGTTGTATTAACAGTAATAAGTCATCAATTGTGAATATTTGTAATAAAACATTCTTGCAACCATTAATGATTGCGGATAAATAAACAACAATAGCACAAAGAAGGGTTTTAAAAATATGTTTARCAGATATTTTTATATTATACAACTCTCGTCGATCTGTACTTACAAAAATAATTAAAAAGGCRTGTCGCAAGAAAGATAATATAAACTTAATTCGGTTGCATTTGTTTATAATGTTGAAGGTTTAAATAATATATATTATATTTGGTTGTGTCGACACCAAAATTTAACTGATCTCAAACCTCTGTCTCTAGACGTCCCGATGAGCAGCGTTACTTTAGTAGCTTAGTACAAATTATTACTATCGTACAAACGCGTAAAAGACGACGAGTAAAAAGAAATTAAATTCAACACCGTACCTATTTTGTATTATTACTACGTTGCTTACAATAAAAATAAAAACAATTTACGGTTGTAATTATTATTTTATGAGAGAAAAAAAAAGATTAATAAGTGSCYATCCAAAATGGGTCTTTTAAAATAAAGCACGCCTGCACAACGTAGTGTTTGGTCTTTTTGAAGTCTACTATAATACTATAATAAAAAAAAGTAATGAAAATGTTTGTTTTAAAATACACTAACCATTTGTCTGATCGAATTTATCTGATTGAAATATGATATTCCTAAGACGGCACAGTATTAATCTAAAAATATGATTGAAAAAATAAACATAATACTTAAAATTATTACTCCGTTGGACTATCGTTTCGTTTAAATGTATTATATTTTKATTTTTGCATGTCTTAACCTTAGTGGACCGGAAATTTCAGAAATAATACGTCAACCCATTTCCCAGCGTAACCTATACAAACATTATAATATAGTATACGTATACGTACGCACAGCTGATATGGTGTTCAGTTATCGCGGCATGTCTGAGGTCTAGACATTATCATAAATCACGCGTCTGATCGATTTTCGCATACAGTAGTACGACCGTGCTATAGTCATTATTCTTGCCCGCATACAACGGCTTACTTGGCTGAGTTTAATATGATCATAATATTTGTACGACACAAATAACTCGCAAGAGTTATGGAATCTAATGCGAAACGAATGAAATGGGTAATAAATCCGTAAGTCAAAATCTATAATCTACTTAAATTTGTGTTATTGACTTTTGCACCATCTCAGTTCGTATGCTATGCCGATTAAAATGTCATATGAATGTACGTATGATATTATTCAACATTTCCAATASACTTTTCAAATTTTACTATATTTATCATATAAGAAAGTAGTAATAGTTTAAAAACTTTACTTTATAATAAATGTRTTCAACTTTTATTTAATTCCTGCTGATTGATATAGAGTATGGATTTAAATGCTATCTGATATACCATGATGATAAATCTATATGACTTTAATATAGGGTGAACATTTAAATCTTATCAAAAATTAATTAATTTTTTTCGATATACGTTGGTTGAATTCAGCCGTTGCTAAAAAATATAAACTTATAATAATAAGTACGTTCGAGTGAATTATCTGAGTTATAACTGTATGTCTAATAATGATAAATTACGTTTATTGATCGTAAAATAAATGCGTACATTTTATAAAAACCATAATATTATTACACTATGTACCTACTATATAAAGTATATAATGTTGGTATAATGCATTATTATTAGGCGGCGTGTGAAGGAAAAGTGAATTTTTAAAATAGTTTTACAAATTTAAAATGTATATGTTTAACGTGGATCAATGGACATTATAATATAACGATATAATATTAATGCGTTATTATAAAAAAATTTATATTCTGAAGAGTAGTAAGTGCTTGAAAGTATACAGTTTAGATGTCATGTAAAAAAAAATGCACGGTTGGAAAAAGTACTATGTCCAGGATATTATTTCAAAAGCAAGGGGGCACTTAAGAAGTGTCACTACATAATACGTAGCTAGGTATATGAGAGCCTCGTACGTAAATATCTGTGTGTTCGTACACATAAAAAAAATTCTGGAAGAGCTCATACTGCTGGAAAAGTCACCCTTACGACGCACAATGACCTTGATCYATATAATATACATATTATCATAATACAATCTCATACAATTTATTTGACGTGATTTCGAAAATTATACTAAAGGCATATCATGTCACATGTGTTTCTTAAAATTGGTTGAAACCATATTGAAAATTGACTTTTGCTATTGGAGATTTTCACTTGTTAATTAGCAATTCATTACCAAACAGCTATACGACAACACACACACAACAAATCCCGTGAAAAAACATGATACCCATATTCAGACGGGCAAATTACTACATATATTTCCAATTAATTTAACTCGACGAATTTTATTTTAAACAATATTTTTATGGTTGATCAATAATGTTTGTCATACGACCGACTGTATGTTAATTGACTGAACAGTAATATTACGCCTGACRGCGATAAATAATAGTCAACGCATTAAGCGTAATCAATACGAACACTGTTAAATTCGAAATAGATTTTTAATAGATAACGACATATCCATTGAATATTTATCTTATAAATTATACATTTCCGARACGAAAAAATAAAATAAATTCTGTTTCACATTATTTTAAATTAGTGTTTATTTGATTTAAAAATAACGTAATCAACTGTTACACTTCTCTAATTCATTAAGATGAGTGATGGTTGCAATTTAAAACACACGTGAATATTTTGGACAAACGACCAAAACAAATATAATATTATAATTTAATTATAATACATATTTAAAAAACAACAAAAATGTTTTATTATCAAGTGTATATAGTCACAAGACAACATTAACGGATGAAACCAATAAATTGAAATTGGAAACTCGTAGGTTCAAAAATGTATGTTATTTATTTGATATTATTATTTTTTTTTATTATTTAAAAACTAAAAATCAATTGATCCCGTTTCTCTTTTTGTTAAATTTCGATCCCGGTTTCTGTCGACATTGGTTACACYGATACGGCTGGGTAAAATGGAAACTTGGAMATTTTTCGATGGCACGTCGTGTGACTATACAATGTCAACTAGTCTAAAAAGTAATTTTAATAAACATAGGCCGAACACGTAACTACTTTGCCCAAGTGATTTCACTTTCCGGGTCACGTTTCATATCACAACTTTTGGAGCCAAATTATCCGCGCCATGCCCCGATCGATTATGTGATCGATGTGAAAACACCGAGAGAACTGAGCCTACTGAACCTAACCGAGAGATGCGTTTCGTCGAAACCACTATTTTTTTGACATATAATTAAAATATGGATTATATTAACGATCGTAATATAAAGCCACCGATTAAATAGCAAACGAAATTGCTAATTAACATAACCCCTCTCCTCAAATTAATAATAATAGTAATTATTATCATTATTATTATTATTTACTCCTATTACCATAGCTCACAGAAATCGTTAAAAATAGATTTTGGAGCAGTAACATTTAGGGGTATTCAATATTATTATTATTATTATTATTATTATTATTACTCAGGAATTGCCAATACCTAGTTCCAAAAAATATAAAACATTTATTTTTGTTTCAAAAAATGGTATCATTGATGCTTCAAACTCCTTTTCATTTGTTGAAAAGATTTATCTGATCAAAACATTTTTATTTTTGTGTATATAAATAATATTATTCTTTCAACTGTAAACAAACAAATTAGTTATATACGGTTGTGGTATTTTTCGTTTAAATTTGATAAGCATTTCAATGAAGAATGCTGTAACACATTGTATATTTTGTAATTGTAAATTTACAAAAAATCTGACGAAAACAAAATGAAAACAGTTAATCAATACAACTGAAAACTAAAAACAAAAATAAAATAGAAAACATGCTCATACGGCAAATAAATTTTGGTATGGTATCACATGATGATTGTATTAAGTCACGTTTAGTTTTTGAGTGTAAGTATTGACCAGTGTCACTAGTTCCCAGATGAGTGACCTGCAGTACTGACCACTCAGGTTTTTAGTTACAAATCGTCAGCACGCTAACCAAACCTTCTCACACAGTAATAATAAACCTTCAAACAACCAATGACCATAATTGCTCGGATTAAGATCAATAATAATTTTTTTAAACCATTCTACACGCGTGCGTCATAATAATGTGTCCGAATCACGTATAACATTAGTTAGATGAATAAATATATGAGTGGCATRTGATACAATGATTAAAATAACAATTTCTTACTTTTTCACCACTGTCTGATGGCAAGTAGAATGTCAAAACTGTGAGGAACGAGATGCCCATGCACGGTATGATGATGTTTACCGTGTAGAAAAGCGTTTTCCTTCTCATGGTGATGTTAAACGTTATGTCCAAATATGGTTCGTCGCAACACGGGTAGATCTTTTCGTTCCTGTAAATATATAATTTGCATTGAGGTAGTGTTAACAATGCAATGCATACTTAATCATGTTTGTTTTATATCGCGTTTCAATTATATTATGCGATGTCTGGTTTTGCGTGACACGTCATAATTCAATTTGAAGAATACAATTCGCAAAACAAAATGGTTGGTGGATTGGAAGAGAATCGGGACGAAGTAATATTGTTTATCAATATTATATAATTATAGTATTAATTTTTATCATGATAATGATTTTAGAAGACTGAAATACAATCTTTGGTTATATATTATGCAAATTTCAACATTCATATGCGGTATCATGTCAAAATAAATACAAAAATATCTATTAAATCCATTATATTTGTACACAAATGAAGCATATTATGAATCAAGTAGGAAATTCGAGGTTGACTCTCAAAAAAACAATGTTAAATTTTCCCATTTGATAGCAATGAAAAATCTTTAGATCTTGGCATGATAAAACTTGTGTATAATAACACTTATAAATATATATGTATATATGTCCACTATACATGTGTTGGGTTAAGTGGGGTGGRATTCAAGAGGCCTCAGTTTTCCTTGCTATATGTTTTTGAATCACGAAAATGTAAATGGCATTCACTTGACATTTTTTTTTTCTAAAGGAACGCAAGAACGTTTATAAAACTAGAACAATAACTATGTATCTATATATTATAATTCCGCTTAAATTATTATTAGTTTTTTAGATGTTGCAACTTTTTTTTTCATGTATACTTCAATCAGAAAATAAGTTGAAAGGCTCAAAAACAATGAACTTATTATAATTGATTGAACTTTTTCTTTGATATCGTACCATAATGAAGTTAATATTCCATCCTATATAGGTATATTCAAAAAAATGTTCATTATATGTATAAGCATATAGAGAGGCCTTTTAAATTTTTATGAAYAGTATTTTTTATTAAATGTTTTTTATGCTTAATACTGGTCATAAAATTTTTGAGTTTAAACATCACGTCATATTAACACTTGAAAATCAAAATTGTAAAAATATGAAATAATAGGTACCTACTACCTATGTATTTTTATGTAAGCTAATAATATAATGTACATCGATTCTCAAGCTATGTTCAAATTACTAAAAATTATCCTTAAATATTTTCCAAATATAGTCCRTGGAAACAACACCTTTTAACTACCCATGAATCACACGAATATAAATGAGTGCTTGTTTTACGTTTTCAAGATAAACAAACAAACATTTCGTTATTTCGGTAAATGTAACGACGAGTACCTGATTTAGTTGGTAAATATCTTACCAGAAGTGATTAGTCACTTTTTATGAACCTACAGTTTTTTTTT